AAATCAGCGGAGATATAGTGATGCCTATCAGCCACCAAATCGGGTCTTAGATGGAGGACCCGAAGTCATCCGACACTTGATCCGAATGACCCAAAACTTTTCTAAGGTAACCTAATAATTTTTTCTGTAAAAAGTGTTACGAAGCCCTGTTCTTTTTTAATTTGTGTCTTTTTACCGTGTTACGAAAGCCTTACTTTCAACAAGGCTTTCGTAATGCTAGATGACGAGTTGATGCGCAGTCTCACAGAAACATGGCCCAATAGATCAAGTTCGAAGCTATCCACTTAACAACTCAAAGATCATTGAACCCACCCAGTGTTGGCACACCTTTCTCAAAATTCGATCTTCCGACTTTCCGTCGATTCCATAAAATTACATTCAGAAACATCTAAATCCATACGATTTTCTGTAATCCAGAACTTAACCAGAACATTGAATTTTCGAGACAAAATAAAAGCGTATATACATCTGACTGTCAGTAACTCTGAAAGCTGCTTACCGATTCGGAGACTCCCAGTCACTATTACATAGTAATAGTTGTCCTATAGATCCATTAGTCTACAGGACATCAGTGATTCCTGAAGTCCGGATAACCCAAGGTAGTTCCGGGCAATTCCGAGTAACTCCAGTTTGGAAGTAGTTCTGAGTGGTTATCACATACATAATGGTTATCCAATATATCCATTTGTCTATAGGACATTAGCGACTCCGCATATCCCGGGTTTCGTGATAAATCCCGATAATTCCAAGTAGTTCTGGTTCCGAAGAAATCCTGAAATTCCGGATGGTTACTACATACATTATAGTTATTCGATACATCTATGAGTCTGCAAGTGATTAGTGATTCCGGAGTTCCTAGGGATTCTCGATCAAACAAATTCCCGAATTATGTGAACTTGAAAAAGTCGTTCGAGTTTCTTATTGATTTTTCGAGTTCCAGATATAACTAGGAATTCCCGGAATCAGTTCCGTCCTCGGAACTGACTCCCAAATGTTCAACATCGCGGAATAGGATGACTGCTCGATTCGTGACGCATGTACATCTGTCTTTAGATAGCATTGAAAAGTACAGCGTGTTAAGAGCCAGTTGGAACCGAATTGATATACTTTCTCATTTTCATTTTCTAGATTTATCAAAAAACGCTAACTTGAAAGAATTCTTTTTAGGAAAGAGTACATTTATCAATTATTTAATAAATTACTACCTTGGCGGTGGATTAAAAGATCTTCATGTTGCCATACCCACTCGATACTTGGACAAAACTGAAGACGTGAAATCTGATGAAAATGCTAGAGTAAAACAAACAAATGTCAAAAGTATTCTTTCGTCTCCAGTGAACAAACTTACGTGTTCATTGACATTCCTGGTATCGGTGATACAAAAGGCGTTCAACACGATAACGAAAATTTGGCCCATATATTTGATACGATTCTAGAATCACGTGACGTGACAGCCATTCTACTCTTACTGAATGGTGCACAAGGACGCCACATAACTACAGTTAAAAACGTATTAACTCGAATCGAAGATCGCTTACCAAACAATATTTTAAGTAACGTTATTATCATATTAACAAATTGTCGTAGCCATTCCGTTAATTTTGATCCTGAAAAAGTCGGTTTGTCAACAAAAGCTACTGTTTTGTACATGCAAAATTCAGCGTTTTCGTCACATCCAAATACATGGAACGCTGAAATTGTATCAGCATTACAAAGAGATTGGGATGCATCAACGAGCGACATAAAAAATTTAATTTGTCACATTCGGAGTTTATTGTCAGTTCCGATGAGTACGCTGTACGACATACAACAAGACCGTCATCGTATTAAAAGTCGTATTAAAAGTACAGAAATACGGCCAACGTAGCAAAGAATATGAAAACTACGAAAGAGAACGTGAAACAACTGTAAAACAGATAATTGATGATGACTATCATAATACTTTGTGTAAGTATTTTTCACGATGTGAAAAATCTTTCTTCTCTTCGTTTGAAGTTGAACAAACGAATGGGCGGCGTTGGACGGTTGAACGGTGTTATTTCAATTTCTTTTGATTCAATTGGTAGGAGAGTAGAAAAAATAGGATTAGCGGCAGCAGTCTAGGGAAGGGTTGTGTCCGAAAGAGAACTAAGACTGTTGGTCATGGTTTTCTTCTGATTATTTCTTCCAAACACAGTCATGGAAACACCATCTTTACCAGCATATGTTTTGCATGAGAATGAATCCACTTCTTCATCGCTCGACATTGACCGATTTAAAACCGTCTGTTTCTTTGCCGTTGATCAATTAATTGTCGGTTTCGACTGTAATTCATTACACAATGCTTCTAATCGTCTAATGAATGTTGTTGCTCGCTGTTTCACGGGTTCTGATTTCAACGCTTCACGATCACGCTTCAAAAATTTGATGGTTAAAACTAATTCATCAGTTGTACTGAATCCGGTACACGTTCGTTTAATCCGCGACAGATTTGGCCTATTTGTCCGTATTGATTTTCTAACTGCTGTTCAATGAACGTTTTAGCTTCACAAAGCTCATCTCTTGTTCCATCGCAATCGTTTTTCTTATTATTAGCCGATTCAAACTTAATTTTCATATCTTGTAGCACTTTTCTCACTGTCTTCGTTTGAACGACGATTTCTCTTCGTGCATGACAATGAAGTTCGTACGGACACTGTGACACACATTGAGTGCATTTACCATTTGTAATCGCCTAACAACTTTCAAGTATTTTATCACCACGCTGTGATGTTTCATTTAAGCCACAATTTTTATGGCATAAAGCTTTCGGTTCAGTTTTAAAGATGAACACCTCACCCCAATCAAAAAGTTCAAGAATCGATCCCACGTGTATAAAGCCATGTTTGATCAAAAAGTTCAAGTATCCTAGTGTAGATAAATATGCGTCGCATTATGATAATTAAACTTCACAGCAATATACGATCGAGAAGGATTTCATGTTTCAGGCTATCACAATTCCGATAAACTACGACTTAGACAAAAATCAGAGAAATGTTCCAGGCTATTACAAAAGCTCTAGGCTTCTGCTCTTTTTCCAGAAAAAATTATTAGGTTACCTTAGAAAAGTTTTGGGTCATTCGGATCAAGTGTCGGATGACTTCGGGTCCTCCATCTAAGACCCGATTTGGTGGCTGATAGGCATCACTATATCTCCGCTGATTT